TGTTCGATGCTGTATCTACGAAATTTCTATGATGCACTTCTTGATCGAATTAATCCTGTAATTAAATATGGATCCTTTATGACAATCGCAAAGTAGCGGGTCATTGACTTGATCATAGCGAATGATCCAAATTATTTCTAAATCCATATTTGCGCCAACAGAAGTTTATGGTAACTGTCTGGTGTTCCGCCATTGGCGTTGTTCATTCCAGCAATCTGGAATCTAAGTAGAATATTACTACCGAAGTTTATTATCAGAAAATGGATGAAATACACATCTAATTAAGTAATATGTGACCGACGCTGATTAATCGATGACTGACAATGCTCCGTTACATATCGCCAGGCTGACACTGCAGAAGACCACCAACTTGGGATCCGAGATTTCGTGACATTCATCATATTCTTCTGAGTCTCTCACCCACTGACAATCACTTTCTGAAGCATCTTGACAATTTTAAAGCCAAAATCCACACCGCTGTTGCAAAGAAGACTAAGAAAAAGCTTTCAAAGTTTTCCCGCCTTTCAAATCTTTTGAGTTTTATACTAAATGCATAAATAAACTAAATGTAGAGATGTTCAGAGTTACTATTTTAACTGATTTAGACACTATCTGTCTCTATCTCTGAGATGCCGTCTTATGATTACTTACATTATTTAAATTATTTGGACTGTTATCCTCACGCATAAAGGGTTCGGTTTGAAATTCCAGCCAGCTGAAGAAGGCCGGAGCGTACAACGGCCGAAACGTTGTGTATATGGCAATATGAGGATAACAGTTCGAATAATGTAAATAATGTAAGTTATTTAAACATTATTTAAAATGTATTAATCCAGAAATGAAAGTTGATCCTAAAACGGGATATGATTTTTCGAACAACATGATAGACGAATAATGACGAAGGGGGTGATTAATACAAATGAAACAGAAGGAAATAAGATGAAATGATAAACAGTACGAGGATGAATAACAGTTGTGACCCATGACTTGATTAAATAATGAGCATTCTGTTTAATTAAGCATTAGCTTTTAATTATTAAATTAAGTTAATTTTATTTGTTTACTATAATTGCTCATTTAAAATTCCCTGAAGTTTGACATATATAATTAAAGAGCTGCTAACATTATCCGAATCTGACATAACTGTGTGAATGAAATATTTTCAGAGATCGCTGGTTTGGTTTGTTTTGTTTGTTTTATGGCATATCAACGTCAATGGGTTATTTAATGCTGACAAGGTTTTTATTGCTGGTAATATTTTTCAAAAAATGTTTTGCTGGTAATCATGTTTTACAAAAATGTATTGCTGGTATTAAAACATATTTTTACAATTTCATATTACTTTTGGGGGTTAACTTATTTAGCCATAGCTGGTACCCTAACAGGTGCTAACACCACGGGTCAGGGTGGACCTGGGAAAACTAGCAATTAAGACGTAGTTCCACGCTCCTCAAAAATCTCTTGATCGGATGTAGTCTTACCCGGGACGGGAATGTAGTTTCTCGTCTTACCTAGGACAGCAGAGATCGCTTGTAACATTATTCTAAAGAAAATCAGTATCCAAACTTAAATAAACGCATTACAAAAAATAAAATAAATAAATAAATAAATAGTTTACTAAACTTTCATGGAGATTTCTCGCATATCAGATTAGATACGAGATAATCTTCTTAAATTTCAAGCTGATTTATGTTGTTATATATGATACCTCTGTAGTTTAAAACATCCCGAGTTGTAAGGTGGGGACAATTCGAAGAAGAGACATTCTTTTATCCTAATACCAGGCTCATACCCTGGCCGTAGGAATAGTAATCGTCTTATGGCCTCTACTTCAAATAACCTTATGCATAAATCACTTGTCAGCAGTTTAGCAGCGACATCTTATAACATGGATGCAACGGGATATATGAGTTGGAGTAAAAAAAGAAAGAAAAAAAACGGTAATAAGAAAAATGGCAGCTCTTACATAAACTTGCTAATGCAACAAAGACGGCAATTGTAAACAAACAAAGCTCTCAAGGAGGTGGATGTAGATAACAATAGGCACATACATCATTTGAATTTATGTAAGTGTATAATATTCTCCAAAATGTAGGTGAATACGTATATATGTGCCTGTGAAATAACTGAATACCTATTTATACACAAAGGACTTATATGTAATATGTAATCTCATAGAATAGTGAACGCAATCTCCTGACAAAAACTTGAGGCGACAGATATGTTATTCAACTAATGAAAGCAGAGAATCCCATGGACAGGACATATGAATAACGAGGAAGTTTTAAGTACTACGAGGAAACTGAGCCAAACAATCAGAAAGAGATTAAACTTCTCGGACATATTGTCCTTAAGACACGATCAGAGATAATTTCCAAGTGCTATCACGAACATAAATTCGCTGAGTGTCACCTACAATCACATCATGACACAAAAGACAGCATACCATAATTGTAATAATTTTATTTCACATAACAAAACATAGAGAACATACAGCACAGAAAAATATACAAAAGCAAAAAGTAATATCAATAAACATTAAATTAGTTAATTTATAATATTTATGCTCTGTAAATTTACATTGAGCCCTGTTTTGTGAAAATAAAAAAAACCCCAAAAAAACAAAAAACATTAAGAACACCGGATTATATATCGTAATGTTAGTTCTATTTATTATAATATATATATATATATATATATATATATATATATATATATATATATATATATATATATATATATATATATATATATATATATATATATATATATATATATATACAAATGTTAAAGGATGAAGATTAAAATTTCAACGTTGAAAACGTTATTTTTGAAACAGGGCAATACATACTTATTATACACTGTTACATTAGATATAAAGAGTACCACCATTGTTAGCTACCTGAAGAAACGTTTGATTTTAACGTTGAAACAAAATATACAATTTTGTAGTAGATATTTACATGTTCTAATGTAACAGTGTATTCATCATCTTGCGGCCTCAGCCGAGATTGAACTCACCAATACTTTGATTGGTGTAGTTCATAATCTTGTCAAATAGCTGAATTCTTGATGCTTCGCTAGGGCTATCAAGGGTGTTTTTATCGTGACACCAACACTAAATGGATTGCCAACCAAGGCTCAGAGAGACCCCATTCACCCTCCTCTAAGAGCAGATTTGAATTCAGAGTTTTCCTTCTCATAGACCAGTTGCCATCCAAGGCTATAGAACCCAGTCTGTCCTGCTATTTACCCATAGCTGGAGGGAGAAGAAAAAGGATTCACACCTTTCCCAAGGGTGTTAGCACGTAAGTGAATGTAATGGATTCGACTGGAATTCGAACTCGGCTCTCCGATTCCTCAATACAAGCCGCCATCCATTACTCCACCGTGCCTCCTCCTCCAGTGTATTAGGCGATCATATATCTTTCGATACGTGACTGACGAGTCAGATTTTTTTCGTGCAGTAGCATGATATTTCTTTCTGCGCTTGACAAGTTTCGATCCAAAGCTATAGGACACTACTCATAGCTGGGGTGGGGGTGAAGAAGAGGATTCAAATCTTTACCAAGGTTATTGGCACGTAAGTGAAAGTAATGGATTTGACTGGAATTCGAACTCGGCTCTCCGATTCCTCAATCCGAGCCGCTATCCATATCAATGCCGTAATTCTAAATTAACATCTTTTGTATCATTATCCATACAACATCTTACTGAGTTTTTTTATTTTTTGGTTTTCTAATTTTACTTTTATTATTTTTCTGTTTTAAAATCCCTTCATTTAAGTTTGATATTATTATAATTATTGTAATTTTTATTTATTATTTGTGTTAAGTGTAGAAAAATCACGTTGTAAAGATAAACACTTAGTTGTGGAGCAAGCTAAGTGAACAATAATCCAACCTTTAGAAAGAGAGCTATTTATGTTGCCATAGAGCATCTCATTGTGCTAAAGTGGGATAGTCCATTGCTTGAGCTGTGATTGGCTGCTGGTACCTGAGTGGAGGTATTTCTATATAAATACCAGCTTGATTCAGCTGTTAGTTTGCAGGGTTTGTATTAAGTTACAACCTGCTTTAGTTTTGTCTGCCAGCTGGACGCTAGCTGGGACCTTTACACCGGTAAGTGCTGTTTATTATTGTTATTCTACATCTCCTTCCACCCCATCGCGTGTGGGTAGTGGCCTTTTGGGGAGGGATGAGTTCCTTTAAACCTGGCTGGTTGTGTGGAAATAGTCTGGACAATGCCCGAGGGGTTTTTGTCCGTGTTATTGTAGACGACTGAGCAGTGTTCGACGTTATTCCAGCGTCGAATGTTTGTGGCACTGGTGTAGGGTCTCAGGTAAGGCACTAGGTCTTGGAACTGGAATTGTAGGTGTATCCAGTTTCCTGAGGAATCGGCGATTTCGTAAGGTAATTCTACCTGATCCATCAACTCTGATACGGTATTGGTGGTTGGGGAGGGTTTCAATGACCTGACCTGTTGTGTCCCATCGGCGGGTTGTTGGTTTTTGTAGTGACACTATTTGTCCTTTTTGAAGGGGTTTAAAGTGTGTGCTGTTCTGTTGTATCGCTCTATGAGACGAGCGTTCCGCCGGGACAGACTTATCTCGCGATTTGGGGCTGCGGTTATCCAATTCGCATGTGGCTTATAGAGTGTGGGGTGGGATGGTATATAGTCACGTAGTCGGCGGTGGAGTAGTAGTTGAGCAGGGATAGCCCAATGTTTTGAATGGGCGTATTCCTGTATTGGAGGATGGCTCTTGCTGCACGATTATTGTCCAACGATCCTTGGGCTCCTGTGTTGCCATTTACGATTCTCTTTGCCGTTTTGACAGCAAGCTCTGCCCGACCATTGGATTGTGGGTAACCTGCAGATGATAACCTGTGTTTGACAGCCCAGTCTTGTAAAAATTGCGTGGTGAATAAAGACGTTCACCAGCACCGGTCGAACGAGCTAGTGTTCCGGGAAGAGGTCGCCATTTCACCGACGAGCTGTAGCCGCGTGTCTCGCGACGAAGGCCAGCCAGATGGTGGTAGACAAAAAGTCTGCGGAGGACGACTACAGCAAGAAGGCGGTCGGTAGAAGAAGGCGGGCGACACCAAAACTTTCGACTGCGCCGAGACGGTGACTGGACAGCTAAGAATTGCGTGGGCTGTGATTGGCTGCTGGTACCTGAGTGGAGGTATTTCTATAATAATACCAGCTTGATTCAGCTGTTAGTTTGCAGGGTTTGTATTAAGTTACAACCTGCTTTATTTTTGTCTGTCAGCTGGACGCTAGCTGGGACCTTTACACCGGTAAGTGCTGTTTATTATTGTTATTCTACATTAAGGACCCTTTTATTAGACTAACTAATTTGGAATTGGGTTGATATGTCGGTCAATTTGTTGTATAACCCGATGTACAAGTTCCACAAATTCAGAGAAAACTTCTTGGCAAGGTCAATCTTTTTAGGCTTACTACCACCTATTCATTACTTCCTTTTTCCTTTACATATCTTCTCTTTATCTCACTTTTTAAATGAACCTGACAAGACATCATTTTTATTCTTCCTCTCCTTCTCTCTTCTTTTCTCTGTTGCTTTCCCTTCCCACTGTCAATCTAATATATCAGTCTGGGTTATTGTCTCTATTTAATAAGAGATTTCGGTCTGAAGAGATGAAGATGTAGATATTATTGAATTATAAACGAAATAAATCTTCTTAATTATTATTATTATTATTATTATTATTATTATTATTATTATTATGCCCAGAAGTCTATATTGAGGTCCCCCTGAATTAATATCCTCCTTGGAATTATCTCTATCAGCCACAAATTGGTAATATATATATATATATATATATATATATATATATATATATATATATATATATGTGTGTGTGTGTGTGTGTGTGTGTGTATGCTTTTAGTATATTATCACATATATTTGCCCTAAATGTAAATAAACTAGGATGGGTCACTTTAATATTCCCCAATTGAAATATATTCACAAGCCAATGTTTGTACGGCTCATTAAACAGTCGCAGATAATTGCACTGTAGCATATAACTGGGAGTCACTATTATATATTTATTCCTACGTCTACACTATTTTAAACGCTATATCTCCGATAATGGGCACACTGATATATATATATATATATATATATATATATATATATATATATATATATATATATATATATATATATATATATATATATGTGTGTGTGTGTGTGTGTGTGTGCGTGTGTATGAAAAATTGTCGGAGTTAACATGTAGAAAAAGACAATATGTACAAATGTAAAAGAAATATCCAGAAAAACCTATCCAATCTAAATAATCTTAAAATAGTCACAAATACTTCCAAAGCCATAATGGATATTCTCTGATCCTCAAAACCCAACAACAAAAATATTTCTGAAACAGGCATTTATAAAACAAATTGCCAATACTGTTCCTCCCACAAAAAACAACTTAAGTAATCCACTAGTCATACATAGAAATAAATTCAAACACAATTTTGATGCTACATTAAAAAAAAAACAAAAAAAAAACAAAAAAAAAACGATAATAACTCACACAGAAGGAAAATCCTCGAGAGTGCCGTCATTGAATATTATCCAAATATTAATCTACGCTCCGGCTTTTTCCCTATATCACCTTTCCTAACAGAATTACTACTCTTCCAAGCAAACGTACACAACTGTATCAAGAACTCAAAAGTAAATGTCAACACAACAATAAAAACAATATTTCTACACGTGTCAGTAGTTGACGTAATTTTCAGTTTTCAATATGAATATAATAGCGTTTTTTAAATACGTCTAGCTGCTGAGGGCATTTTGATTTGTTGTTAATAGTTACATTGTTTTTAATAAATTCATTTCGTTTTTTCCTTGAAAAAGTCTACATTGGACGAAACGCAGTTTTCCTATTTTCTTTTACCGTTATATATATATATCTTCTTTCTTTGCCAACGCGTTTCGTTCCATGAGGTAGTTTATCATGCTAAATGTAGAGATTTCATCATATATTTAATTACACACAGAAGTAATGTGGGGGAAAATATCATTAACTTTTAAAATTTTTTATGTAAGAACGCTGTAAAATATATTTTAAGCTATCTTTGTAAAGACATTTAAAATATGCATGACGCCAAGTAATGTTATATATTGCTTAAAAAAGGAAAGTGCGTAAATTATTGTTTTGAAGATTCAAAAGGTACATACATATACATATACATATATAATTAAAAGTATATATTATTGACTCGGATGCGAACTGTTCAACATCCCTTGTATATAAATGCTACAGGAATGCAACACTTAATGACAGTCTGAGCAGATAAGAATAATAATGTTTTTAGGACTGTGCTGATTAGAAAACGAATTCTGTTTGCAATTATTACGCTTTGAATTTATTCTCTACTAAAATATATCCGGGGGGAGGGTGGATTAATGGATAAAGGATTGAGGAATCGGAGAGCCGTGTCTGGATTCCAGCCGGATTAATTACATCCATTTATTGGGAAAATGTATCCCTAACCCTAACCCTAACCCTGAAACTGTGGTGGTAACACAACAATTCAACTGTGCTACATGGCTAACTCGTTGCAGCGATAGCAGCGTAGTCGTGCTCGTGTCCGTCGGCTGCTCCCGCCTCCTACGTCACTTCGGCTCCGGCAGTCCCTAGAGAAATGGTTGGGTCCACCGCACTTGTAGCACTTTGGGCCCTCCCGCGGTGTCTCGGGCGTTCTCACGGCTGCTGCGACCTGTTCCGTGTCTTTCAAGATGTTTCGGGCCCTGGCTAGCAATTCTTCAATTCCCAGTGTGTCCAGTTTTGAAGACGCTCGCAGGAGCCGACTGGTGTCGTCGGGAAGTCCTGTCAGGAAGGTGCATCCCAGTATGCGGTTCGTTGCTCCGCCAAACGGCACCGCCAGCCTTCGCAAATCGGCCAGGTAGACATCCACCGTTTCACCCGGCTGGAGCCGTCGTCCTACGAACTGTTTCCAAGCGATGAAGGGGTCTATTCCAAAGGCCGTATATAGGGCACTCTTGATCTCTTCTAGGTCAGCATCGTCCCCGAGTTGTTGAGATATGGCGTAGGCTCCTCTCGTGAGTCTCAGTGGGATGAACAGTGCAGGTTCCTTTATTTTGGACACCCTGCAAACACGTTCGGCCTTTTCAAACCATTCGATGACAGTCGGGCGCGTGGAGGAGCCGTCAAATTCTGGGATCAATTTTAGATCGAACTTGTCCATCGCCGAAATAGCTTGTGGTGGTAACACAACGATTCAACTGATAATAGCAGATAGGAACAAAAACCCGCGAGGAGGGTAACCGACAAAAACCAGTGTCACACGTCCAACCTTCTCACAAGCAAAAAGCCCAATGATCAGAAATTTGCTGGGTTTTAAAGACACAGCTATTTTAAAAGTTACTCCAAAATTCGCTTGAGGATGAAATGGAACTAATATCTTTAATTTAATTACAAAATTAAATTCGTAGCTTTTAGCTTCCATTTTTGAAACATGGTTAGAACTGTGTAGCGAAAAAAACATATCTTAAATAAATCAATTTATAATATTAATGCTCTGTAAATTTACATTGAGCACTAATTTGTAAAAAGAAAATATCTATAAGAACACCGGATTATATATCTTACTGTTCTTTCTTTATATATATATATATATATATATATATATATATATATATATATATATATATATATATATATATATATGATTGAAGTATATGATTGGTAGAGACGAAATAAATTTCAATAACCAAAAATACTATTCTTAAAAGAGTAGAGGAAAATATTATTTATTCAAAAATTATAACATAAATATGTTATGAGATCACTATAAAAATAACCATTTTGTTTCAACATTTCTGGTGTCTTATCAAGTGATATCAACACCATCAAATGATAAAACACCTGAAGTGTTGAAATAAAATGGCTATTTTTGTAGTGATGTTATAACATGTTTATGTTATAATTTTTGAATAAATAAATTTTATATATATAATAAAATATATATACATTTTATACATATAATAAATATATACGTGGTCGAGTGGTTAGAAAGAACTCTCGCATTCTGACCATGACACGCGTGTTCAAATCTCACCACTGTTGATTTGTCAGGAAATAGACTTCCTGATGTTATCGATTTCGAGGGAAAGTACCTGAAAACCATACCTTGTGAGTGAAATCGGGTAGACAGAGCCCTTGGGGGCCGTAGATAGTAGTGCTAGCACGAATTCACAAGTCATCGTGACCGAGGGTTTGAGTGTGCTGGTCTTGTTCAGGTTGTTGGTGATGCGAGATAATGCGCACTCTCACAGAAACTAAGGTCTGCTCATCATATTTGCAGTGTAAACCACAGGTTGGCTCTGTGGGTGATGAAGAATCATCCATTGTTATTATTAACCCTGATCAAAAATAAAATACTTGAAAATTTTTTTTAAAAAGACTATTTTTCATGGAGAAATCTTAAACATTACTTACTTAAGGTTACTAATTTTATAATCTAAAAGGTTATGTAGACAAAAAGTTATAATCCGAACATTTTATTGGGAAAATGACATTTTTATAAAATGAGGCGTTTTACACTTGATCCAAATTATAAGACCAGATGGTATAAATTGTTAGATCTAGGGTAATTCCAATATTTTTAGTTCAGTTAGAGTTTATCAATCACTGCGTAACGTTGTCACAAGGTGTCTAAAGCAAGTAAACTTACTGAAGTTAAGCGTGCTCGAATTCTAGATTTCCATAATCAAGATTTGTCACAGCGGGTGATCGCAGCTAAGGTAAATCGCAGTATAACTGTGATTTGTAACTTTCTAAAGGACAGTGAAAATTATAGAAACGCAAAGTCTACTTGTAGGCCAAAAAAAATTCTCCGGCATTGAGTAGAATAAGACGGGTTGTGAAAGTCAGTGGGCTTTCTTCTAGTCAAATTAAGGTAGCCACAGGTGCTGATTGTATTTATATCTAATCTAATATAATATTATTTATATATAATATAATATAATAGTATTTATTACGTCATCGATGAAAAAGCTACTTAATTAATCATTAACTTTTAATCATTAAATTAGACTAATTTTATTTTATTATCATAATCTCTCATTTT